TGTTATGATGATTTTGTTATTACTCACTGTTTCACTTTGCATCATTGTTGTGAATGCTGTATATCCCCATAGAATGACTTTTGCCATTTTCTCCCCAAAATGCACAGTGAGAAATGACCGTCTCAAACTCACAATAAGCGGAGAATAGAATGGACTAACTTAAAACATACCCTAATTCATGAAATACTATTAGATACATCGGGGAACAGAAATGAACCAAGCATTGTTGAGTATGAAAGGAAAAACATGATTTTGGAACAGAGGTTAGGGGAGCGAATAGATGTAAATAAGTTACTATCGTGTCTCTATTACACTTATGATATTTTTTGTATTAAAATCATTGTGTAGTAAAACTATATGTAAGCCTGTAAAAGGCTCTTCTGTGCCTGTTATGGTTTCAAGAAAGCCACTGACTTTGTGTGAAGGGTACCAATTCACGTACATATCTTTTAGAGTCATCATTAGATGTTTGCCAAGGTTGCATTCTGAATCCCTTGTTATTTACTTTCGTTATTGATGAATTGGTTAAACTGTGATCAGTGAATATTTGTCATTGAGCACATCAATATACTGCTAAATTTGTTTGCTGATGATTTCCATATAAAGTGTCAACTCTACAAAAACAATTGATTATTTTAGAAATGTTTCGTAACACATTACAACCACACTTTACCATGGGTGAGTCTAAGCTAATGTATTTGAATAATGCTTGTTTCGTTTGTATACATGAAAAACGGGTCTTCTGTTATAAACTGACGGGCAAAAGTTAGTATAACGTTTTCAATTTGGTTTGGGGAAATTGAGCATGTCTAAATTCCAATGAAACATCCAAAGCAAACATTGTCAAAGTCACGAGAATATTGCAGAATGGTAGTGATGTCAGTAGATGTAGCACGAGAAAAAGGTATAACATGTAATCTTTGAAAATCACGAACATGCACGTGCACCACACACTGCCAGAGAGACTCGCTACTTTCTGCAACAGAACAATGTTGACGTCCTGCCCTGGCCAGCGTGCTCACCGGATATGAACCCGATCAAGCACCTCTGGGATCATCTGGACAGGAAGATCAGAGGTCGGCAACAAGTTCCACAGAACAGGCAACAGCTAGAGCAAGCACTCAGAGAGGAATGGAACCGCATTCCCAATGACGTCATTCGACGTTTGACGACGTCAATGAGGAGACGTGTGAGGGCATGCATTGACGCAGCAGGGGGTCACACACGATACTAATGTGCACAAGATCCTGTATTCAAGGAATGCCCCTGCTACTGACTCATAAACTCAGATTGTGATAATCGATTTATGCAAAATTCCACCCCTTGCGTGTTTACTTGACAGCGGCTCACAAACTCCTTGAATGAAATTGTTGATTTTTTGTGATTTACAGCTCAAGTGTTTTTTCATTATGATGCATTAAATATTTTTGGGAAATTTCGGTGTATGTCTTTGTTACAGGACGTTCAAAACGTCATATACTAACTTTTTCCCGTCAGTTTAGGAACATTGAAGTTTAGGCTTACAACAAATATCAAACTAACAAGTTTTCATGTTGATGTACATGTAACTTGTGAAAAGTTTGGATACGTAATTTATTACATTTAAACAATATAAATATAATCGGTATTCCCCAAAAGTATTGCTCCTCCAAATTTATGTAAACAACAACTTTTCAATATTGCACAGTGCACGTAGCAACATAAAATCACAGCTGTTGCAACATGCTGTCAAATGTGACTTCAGCATGAAACTTTGCAATTATTTAAAGCTTTGTCTTGTAGGCTTTTCATTTTTGCTTGTAGAGTGTTCATAACTGGAAGCTGAAGACACTGCCTGGTACTTATACGCTTGGCCATTTGCCTCATTGCTAATTTCAATTTCAATTCTTTATTCTCATAAACCACCTTGGTGGTACAAGAGCATATATTGTAAACATATATACAAATACAAATTCAAATTCAAGATGGCAGTTAACAACATATTAACATTTTTTCTGACAAGAGATGATAGATGTAGGATATATTTTGATAGATTTACTATGTCTCGAGATGTTTTTACAGATAATATTTTCGTGAACTTTGTTTCATTGGGAAAAGAGGTTAGGTGGGAGGGTAAATATTCTTTCCTCAAAGTATCTAATGCTTTGCAATGAAAAAATATAGTGGTATTCATCTGCGATGCTTTTAGAAGTACATAGTTGACACGTTCTCTCGTCCCTTGGAATATTATACCAGCGGCCCGTCTCAATAGGTAAACTATGGTTACATGTTCTAAATCTCAATAATGGTAAAGAAATGCGTTTTGGAAGGAGGAGATATACATCAAAATTGGGAAATGGCTTTAGGTGCTGATAGTGTATACCCTTAGGACTAGAAATAATGTCATTGTGCCAGTTTTGGATAAATTGATCTTTAAGAATATGTTCAACTTTTGAGACCAGCCACTGGGTAGTACAAATTGAGGGATTTTCAAAAACATACGAGAGTCCAGTATTGTCTAATATATTTTTAACGTGCGAGAGCCAGGGATTATCTTTTTTATCTATTGATCTTTGAAGTGATAAATACTTGTAAATTAAGTTCGTAAGCTTAAAACACCTTCTTGGTAAGTTAACTTGTGCCAAAAGTTTAATAAACGTTTATAAATCATAATTCTAATTGGGAATCTTCCTAGTTCCCCATACAGCATGAAACGAGGGGTTGAATTTCTTAATCCTGTAATGAGTCTTAAGAATTTTAAATGAATTTTCTCCAAAATTTCAAGGTTTTCGAAAGACCAGACTTCTGCACCATAGGTCAAGACAGGTACTACCATTAAGTCAAATGCTAACAATAAACAGTCTAAAGGCAAGTCTAATTTTCTAGCTTTTTTCACTAAACGATACATTGCTTTTGAGGCACTATTGCTTACAGTTTTAATACTTGATACGAGTTTTCTATTTCTATGGAGCGTTATACCGAGGTAGGTATAACTATCAACTATTTCAAGTAATTTTCCATCCAAATGAAATTTATTTTTTGTGCTTTTTGATGGTCCTGCCCTGAATATTACTATTTTAGTTTTGTTTATATTCACTTTTAGCTTCCATGAATCACAATAGTCCTTAAATGAGTTCAAAGCATCTTGTAGTCCCTTTGACGATTCATCAAATAATATTGTATCATCTGCATATAATAAAATAAACAACTTTACAAATATCACCAAATCTTCGTCTTCAATATAGTTTAGATTTACACTATTACAGTCTGAAGTAAGTAAATGAGTTTCAATATCATTTATGAAAATGGAGAATAGTAAAGGTGACAGATTTTCCCCTTGTCTGACGCCGTTGTGACATGAGAAGTAGTTTGATACATCATTATTACATTGTACAAGTGATTTGATATTGCTATACAATGATTTGACAAGATTCAGAATTTTCCCTCTATACCAATCGTTTGCCTTTTTTTCCCTAATCCCATTCGCCAAACAGTATCGAAAGCTTTTGTAAAATCTATAAAGGCACAATAGAGTTTTTGTTTCCTATCTTTCAAAATTTGCATCAGATTATAAATTATAAATACATTGTCAACAGTGGAGAATGATTTTCTAAACCCGGCTTTGGCAGGTGTTAAAACATTATTAGTATCTAATGAAACATGTCCGTTTGTTGGAGCAGTTTTTCACGTGCCAAAGAGCTACACCAAATTACTATCTTATATTCTACTGATGTATCATATGTTATGTAACAAGTGTTTAATAAATGATAACTGAATTATTCGCCTAGGTGTAGTTATTGGCAGTACGTATTTTTTACTGCCTTATCAGAATTGGTATCAAACGGTTATGTGGTTGTCCACAACTGTGGGAATGACTCGGGATGTAAATACAGCTACGTAATATACGCGGTAGAAACGTACGTTGTCTTTACACTCTGTTTAACGTTAGACCCGTGAAGATCCGCGTTGGAATTGATGTTCAGTAACCCATGCTTGTCGTAGAAGGCGACTAACGGGATCGGGTGGTCAGGCTCGCTGACTTGGTTGACACGTGTCATCGTATCCCGACATCGTAGATCGATGTTCATGATGCTGATCACTGGATTATCTGGTTCAGACTCAAAATATTTACAGACCGCCACCATAACAGCTGGAACACTGCTGAGCGCGTTAACCAACAACAAATCAATCAAACAAAACGTTAATGGTTAAATAGTTATGTAGTGTACATAAGAAACAAAGCAGATATTCACTGCAATGTTTACTCGTCAATTTACATGTTGTTTTTGGTTTTGTGTTTAATCAAGTTGTAGCTGAGTAGTGAGGAAAAATATTATACAGAAAACTCTATCGTGACATCAAGTTATAAGAAACACTGTCCTAACGTCGTTGTGAAGACCCAAAAGAATAACGTTTCACAACGTAAATTTGCAACGGTGTTATTACCTTGTGAAATAACATTGCACAGTGTTTACATTCCCACAATGCATATAAGTTGTAGAATGAATGAATTCACGTGTTTGTTAAGAATGAACAAGTAGTTCCGTCACAACGTGACCTAACTGAGAGGCCATCGGTTATCAAATCAAATCCTTACAATCTCAGGTCAAGTCGTTACGACACAGGTCAACGCGAAACGACACTCGTGTGACGTACGATATTAGTATGCAACTACCCATGCGTTAAAAGCGTGGGTAATAAAGGTTTGTATTGCCTACCCGAAATGTCACAGCATATCACGTCTTGGTGTGGTGTCCGTCATGGATGTACCTGTATATCTCACCTGAGATATTTGATCACACACACACACTCGGGCGACAGAATTCATACATTCCATATATTTATGCATCTATATTTATATTTGATATATCCAAATCACGGGTTAATATCTTTTATATGACGAAGTTGGTTGCCTGTGAATTAAACTGTCATCTGTACTGCGTTATGAAATGTAGCTGTGATCACACAGCTAAACCGGTTTTGTATTGTCTACCCGACCTGTCACTTGAATCACTTCCTGGTGTGGTGTTACAGGCGGGAGTGTCTCTATGATGGCTGTGTCTGTACGTCTGGGTTGAGTATTGGATATGCATTTATGACCATGAGCAGTTTTGTTCTTGACAAGGTAAGTTAACGTGGCAATGTGACGGTCGAAAGTAATGTAGGGGTCATGTACAAACATACATACACGATTTCATATTCCACTGCGAGTCAGGGAGGCCTGTGTTTATTCCTGTAGGTTGCACACCGTTTGCTTCTTTACGAAAGATAGTGCTGAATTAAAGTTAACTTCTAAGAGACATAGGACACCGTCTCCATTGCCAGTACTTTCATTGACTACCATGCTATTATACGTTTCCACATCAAATGATTGTACGTCCTTAAACAATGACATGTTACTTCCGATTTGTCGGTTACTATATATCACGTCGATGTCTTCCATGTTGTCCTTACTAACATGGGTATATCCTGAAGTGCATGAAGTCGCTGTCATTTGGTATATTCTAATGATTCCTGACTGGTGGCTGTGAACGCGATCTTTAGGTTCCTATCTTACTGTTCTCAGGGACCGCCTCCGCGGTGTAGTGGTTAGAGCGTCCGCCCGGAGAGCGGAAGGTCGTGGGTTCCATCCCCGGCCGCGTCATACCCTTAGACGTTAAAATGGGTACTTGTTGGTCCCTGCCTGGCGTATAAGAAGAACTGGTCGGCTCGGAGTCAGTATAATGTTTCTAAGTGGGGTATTCATGTTTAACTGGTATCTCAGTGGGCTAGCACTATAAAACCAGCTTAAGTCTGGGCTAGTAGAAGCAGCCACACATATACACACACATGCACGTCGTCAAATGAGCGAAACTTTCTTAATTACGACGTTTTACCCATTTCACCTCACCTCACCTACCATTCTCAGGTGTCACCAATTCGCCGTCCACTTGAGATGAGAACATCACTGGTCGCCATGGCGTTTTTGGCTGGAGTACTTTCTTGTGCGGGTCATTGGGCGTCAGGTAAGTGTCTGATATGTGAGCGAAGAAAAATTAGTTCCACTTGTAGTGGTCAAGTGGAAATACTGTACAAGAACATAAGCTGTTACCAAAAGGGTCAAATCTATGTTCCAGCATCTGTCATTGTCTGTCTGACAAGTTACCCGCAGTCTGCCACAGAAGGAGTCGAGTTCACACTGTCCTGTACAGCAACACAGAGCGATGGGTTGATAAGTGTCAGCTGGTACAGAAACAATGTTGAAATGTTCATGACAAGCAGTGATGCCAACATATCTTCTTCCATACTGAAACCCAACACCACTTTATCAGAATACCGCGCTGTGGTAGGACGTGTCACTGTCAGCTCCTCCCTCCAACAACACAACGTGACACTCAGGATCAACTCTACACTCGACCAGGGCTCTGTGTGGAAGTGCAGGAGTGGGATGCGTTTCAGCAATAACGTCACTGTGGAGATTACAGACAAATCTGAAGGTACAAGCGAAATAATACGTGATGCATCTTTTAGAAATGGTAGCTTCAAATAAATACAATACCCAGATTCTTGCTGATTCATTTCCCGACTTATGTTACTCGTTTTGTCGTAAAGCCGTACTCAGCAATATTTCACCTGTATAAGGGATCGTAAAGGTTTCTGGACGAGGACCATAGTGTCCAATAGTATGAATCACGTGACTCCACTTTAGGATAGAAAGTCTCGAAAGAGTGTGGTTGACAACCATCCAACAGACAAATTCTCCCTATTTCGGATATATTCCAGAACGTAAACATTTGTCATCTACTTTCACAACTTTTGAGATACCTTAGAACATGCTTAGTTTCATCTTTAGTCAGAGCTTTATACGACTCTTACTCAAAGATGTTGGGATAATCGCATTCACTGCTTCAGGAAAGCTTACAAGATGCTTTATGGTAGACAGGTCGCGCATATTTCCAGATTCGATGATTCCAAAATGTTTCCAATGTAATTCCTTTTTTGACTTCCAATGATTTTCAGGTGCAAAATTCACTTAACCTGCACCATTCCTAACGTATCATACAGCATACACACCCTCGTAATCGTATGTAATACTTTGTTGCTTTGAGTAGTGTCAGTAGTTGTTGTCTTTGTTGTAGAGGTAGTCACAGTCGTAGCCGTAGCACTGGTTGTACTAATGGCAGGAATGCCCACTCTGTGCCGAGTCTGCAAATAGCTGTTCTGGCAGATCGAAGATTACACTTGATTCCGAAAGCAAACAAGTATAATAAAACTATACAACTGTTGACACAAGACAGTAACGCATTCATGACAACGAGTTATTGTTTGGGAAACTTCGACTGAATCTTAATAACTACAATTACAACACAAATGATGCATCCATATAGGAGCTATCATGACGAATTTAATTGGATCTGATATTGCCAGCTGACTAAACACTACTATGTTATATCTTGGAATACATGTGCGTGCACGTTATTAACCCTAATGTTTTGTGTACTAACAGTACAATCGAACAGCCGCCTCGGATTTTAGCAGATATTTCTAATGAATGTGGCTAGGAATTTCTTGGTATATTTTCTTTCTCCATAATTTATATTTTATGGTCATTGATTACAGCTCAAGCTGAATAGTTTACACTTACAACACATGGTATCTCACCTTATTAAGAGGACTTATATTATGTATTCTACCATGACTTGATTAAATGCTGGATTGTGATTGGTTCATTAAAGTCAATCAGAGGTATATAATCAGGTTATATGCCTCTGATTTTCTAACACGGTATGCATTTTTAAAAAAAGATATTATAACGCGTTCGGTTTTAAATCAATTTTAGAGCTATATAGAATTATTATTTCGTTATATACCTCTGATTTTCCAGCACAGTATGTTTATCTCCTAAGTGTAACCTTTGACACGCACTTTCAGCGTCCATCTCAGTAAAAGCAACAAGAAATCCAGTCAATGGTGGACAGATCCTAACACTGACTTGCGAAAGTACAAATGACATCACAGAAACTGTCTGGTCCAGAAACTCAGTGAACATATTCAAGACCATCATACCGAGGTCCATGTTGGTGTACGACACCAACTCCCCCCAGTACCAGTCTGTGGCAGGACGTGTCACTGTCATGTCCTCCCTCCTTCAACACAACGTCAGTCTCAGGATCAACTCTACTCTCGACCAAGGCTCTGTGTGGAGATGTCAAAGTGGAAACGTGTTCAGCAATAACGTCACGCTTGATGTGGTGGAACATATACGGGGTAAATAAACCTTTCGTGTATAAGAGTGTTATATCTAATGAAGATTAAATGGACACATTTCACTATGATGTCATATGTATAACATTGCAGTATATTTTGATTTCATAAAAAGCCGTGATTTCATAACATGTAAAGCCGTGATTTCATAACATATAACACAGTGATTTCATAACAAAGAACTGAGTGATTTCATAACATTTATCTCAATGATTTCCTTGCATTAACTCAGTGATTTCATAACATATAACTCAGTGATTTCATAACATGTAACACAGTAATTTCATAACATTTATTCTGTGATTTCATATTATATATTACACAGTGATTTCATAACATAGAACTGAGTTATTTCATAACAGGTATGAACATTACTGATTTCATAACATATGTGTTCAGTTGTGATTCATACATATAACTCGGTGATTTCTTAACATATAACATTTGGTGATTTCATAACATCAGACTGGAGTGATTTCATAACATTTAACTCAATGATTTAATAAGAGAATGAACTCAGAAGTGATTTCAAAACATATAACCCTCTAGGTGAAGTGTTTTAACATAAACCCTCAGTCTGGATTGTCTGTCTGCAGGGGATGCTTGTAAGATAACCACTAATATTGCAAGCAATTGACTCGCCATCAACCTCTGAAGGTATACCATTACATTTGCTCATGACGATATCATGTGTGAAAATGATTGCGATATGTGACGTAATCCCTCGTTGTAGGAGTTTATCTTTTTCAAACATAAGTCATTATGGCGATATTTATGTACGCAACAGAATAGGGTGCGATTGCATAACTATGGTGTATATCAACATCATAAGAGATGGTGACTCGGAATGTTTCAACTGATTCAACCAACACTTGCAACATTTTACCAATTGAAAACCCTCTAATGATTTGTTTTAACATAACTACCACCCACGATGGTTTGGGTTTAAAGTGAGGATATTTAGCTTTAACGCATAGCTTGTAAGATAATTAAAGGCATGCTATATTTCAATCGACTTACGACCTTTAACGCATAGTCTACAGTTAAATACTTTCCGAAATATCTTCACGATATGAGTGAAATATTGTCGATGTGACGTTAAGTGTTAAATCACCCACCCTTCTTCTGTCCTTGATAAATGCTAATATGTATATCTTCTTCTCCAAGTTTGATAAAATAGCAATTCCAAGTACCAAACGTAAATCCAAATGGTTGGTAGCTTGGTTAGTTTGTCTTTCAACGCCGCACTCAGCAATATTCCAGCTATGTGGCGGCGGTCTGTAAATAATCGAGTCTGGATCAGACAATTCAGATATCAACGGAATGGGCATCGATTTCAACAGCCGGGATGCGATGACATGTATGGGTTGTTGAAGACCAATTCTAACTCGGATCTTCATGGGTCACCCAGACTGTTGGGGAAATTATTTTTATAACGGGTGTATTCAAGAGAAATATCTCCTCGGAAACATCCGAGGACCAGGTCAACAGTAGCTATATTTACGTCTTCAATGGACAGTGTCATAGCCGAAGGTAGAAAGAAGGTAGATTCATTCTCGACGACTTTTTGAAAATATTTCACAAACAACTACAAGCTTCCTATTTCGTTAAGGTCAATGACGTCATTCAATGTTTATTGACAGTACGAGCTTTTCATAATACATTTGGTTAACTTTGAAGTATATGTTACGAATATCATAAGGAGAAACAGATTTCAACTGGAAGGTGTTCAAACATAGATTCAGAACTACTCAGCTGAAGACTCGGTATACAGAAAACTGGATATCATGGCAACACTGACTGATACAAACATTCAAATGTAGTTGACTGTGTAAACTGTGTTTCAGATGGAAGTATTTTACCCCTCACCGCTGCAGTTGCCAGCATCATCGTCGTCATCGTCATCGTCGTCGCCAGTTTTATCTCTGTGTTACTGGTCAGGAAGTATAAGAAGGGTACGTGATTTCTTTTAGTAATACACGAGGCTCTTTCTGTCCAAATTCGCATTCCACCATGGCACTTTGCCATTGTGTATGACAAGAGAGGATACACCGAATGTTTGCTGAATACATTAAACAGGGGATAGAATTTCTGACATATTTGGACATATATTGAAACAAATAGATCGTTTGAATGTATGAAGTTATAAAGAAACTTATAATTGAAGTGGTTTGCTCTCTGACATATAAATAAGCAACACTTCTTAAAAAGGGATTATTTCATTACCTGTCATATTATGTATTGATTTTTTAAGTGTTTGTACAACATGTTTCTGACCTTTCAATAACTACAAACTACTTTCACATTCGGTGGTCGTAATGGATAAAGAATATTCTGCAGATCATTTCTCACTATCATGCATGAATGGTGCTGAACGTTTTGTTCTGTGCATGTGACATACATGTATTTCAGCATCACCGACAAAGTCACATGTTGTTCCAGACGTCGCAGAAAGCCACAGTCAGATGTACAGCACCATGTCACGTGACCCTGACACTGACAACAATTACTCTGAGTTGGGTCCTGGACTCACAAATAAGAGGCTTCCGAATTCCAAGCCTGCCACCACAGGGGAGTCCGTGGCCTACTACAACACTGTTCCCGCTGACAGCCAGTATGAAAACCCACCATCTTCTACTAAGAAACCGGATTCTTCATACGAATGAGGGCCTGAGTTTAGGTTTACACCGCTTTTAGCAATATTCCAGTGATATCACGATCTAGGACACCAGATATGGACTCCACACATTGTACCCATGTGGGGAATCGAACCCCGGGTCTTCAGCATGACGAGCGAACGCTTTAACCTCTAGGCTACTCCACCGCCCTCTTCATACAGAATCATACAGTCATCTTTTAAATGCTCTGGCTTTACACAGATGATGCGTTCACTGTTGTTTCAACCAACTGATTGATGGTGCCATTCACTGGCCATGTCATACAAAATTACGTTAAAAGATGTATTTAATGTTGCCCTGTCTGGTGTTCGGATTGAAGAGGATAAAACTGGGGCAAAGTTAAATAATGTTAATAAATGTAGACATTGTTACCTTGCCTGGGGTTCGACAAGGGAGTATTACAAGGACCATTCGGTTGGGACTTACAACATTATATCTGACTCTGGTATCCATGGTAACATGCGGCATGACATCTCAGGGAGTTAGCATGAGTAATGCCAGCATTAGTCAGAACTCTTAATCATACAAACAATATCTATTGCTATTTAAACGTAATAATCTCAAGGTGACGTGACATAACGTTTAACTCTCTTACATTCAGCGAAAACCCATGACAATGTTCATCATTGCTCTCTTATATTTAGTTTAGACGCGGATATCCCGGTGTATTTGTCTTTTGGACTGTTTGATCACTTCCTTAGTTTAAGTTTTCTTTATTCTCATACAATGAATCCATTGGTTTCTTGAACAAATCTGCTTTTTATAATGTTGTTTACGGCCATTAAACTCTGTCTTCAATGCAATGACATATGTCTTGACGGATATCCCGGTGTATTTGTCGCTGTTTGATAACTTCTTTTCTTTGTTTGATAACGTGTTCCTCGATGTACAATGTTGACTGTTTCATTCTCATACAATGACTCCATTGTTTTTCTTGACGAATTGCTTGTCGCAAATGTTGCCCATTATACTCTCGTTTTGACGTTTTGTTTATAACCCACAACACGAAGACTAAATCGTGACCAACCATGATGATATTTTCTTATTGTTACATTACGGCGTACTACGGCCCGGATGTTATTTCCTGCTTTGAATAAAAACAACGCATCAATACAGATCGACTGGTTTGGAAAATACCTCGCCTTGATAATCCAACGCACTGTTCTTTTCTTTTACAATCAATTGAACGTGTTGAGTTTATTGAATTCTCGATTGCAATATGTGATTTGTTTCATATATAAAAATGATATTCTCATACCATGACGCAAATGTTTTTCTTGACGAAATTTGCTTGTAGCAAAGTTGTGTACGGCCATTATACTCTGTCTTCAATACAGTCAGTTGATGATGTGTCTTGACATCTTGTTTATAACCCACAACACGACCAACCATAGGAAGTGATGCTTTCTCGGTGTCAATTCTGATAAAGACAATGGTCGTGAGGAAAATACCTCGCCTTGATCATCCAACTCACTACAGTTTTTCTTTTAAATAACAAAACTTTCAATGAAGAAATATGTGAGTAGTGGTATTGGCATGCCAAAGCAATTGTAGACTTGTACAGATTTTCATGTTAATCACATGCAAATATATTGTGAGTTGTGGTATTGACTTTTCTAGTAGTTTCAGATTTGTACAGTATTTCATGTTAATAACACAAACTGTCAATAAATATGTGTAAATAGGGGTATTGGTATGTCTAGTAGTTTCAGATTGGTATGTTCTTTAATTTAAGTTTTCTTTTAAACAACAAAAACTGTCAATAAAATAGGGTATTAAATATGTAATGTCTAGTAGTGTCAGATTTGTAGCTGATCTAATCCAGGCATTAATATTCCTCCCTCTGACTGTGTGATACCGATATAGACTCATACACACATAACGCCAGATTCTATGTGACACTGTATGTGTACGGTGAATCACGGTTGTCAACACGTTACATTCAGCCACATTGTATACATGTATGTGTAACACAGAAAACACTTACACACGATGAAAGGATCACAGATGAATATAGATAGAATTGTCAGGTCTCAGGAAAGTGCACATCCACTCACAATAAGTGATGTGTTTATGTAAATTCTGTTTGTAGCGGTTGGAAATAACCAACCTGGTTTTGACAGGAAAGTCGTGTTATCAGTGTTACTTCCTGTCAATACTGAAGCTCTGAGGTCTACTAGGCTGTATTACCGGCGGTAGAGATTCAATACTGCACACACGATCCCACAACAATTCAGCTTTATTTGTTGGGTGTAAACCCATCGAGTACACATTATGTCAATATCATCGAACATGTACCTGTTGTCGCTCTGTTGTACCGTGTAAGAGACGACTAATGGGATCGGGTGGTCAGGCTCGTTGACTTGGTTGACACATGTCATCGGTTCCCAATTGCGCAGATCGTGCTCATACAGTTTATCACTGGATTGTCCAGTCCAGACTCGATTATTTAGAGACCGCCACCATATAGCTGGACTATTACTGAGTGCGGCGTAAAACTAAACTCACTCACTCACTGTTGTACCGTCATACATTTGTCCACTCGCTGTTCAATCCCTGAAACAGCATCGTAAATATTTAATCTGAAGTGAGTCGTTCTCCTTGATTCAATGAAGTGTGAATGATAATGTGAAATATTGATAAAATAGACAAATAACAACATAGTCAGTTTGAGAAAGTCAAACTTATGTTTCAAGTAATGGCAACGCATATGAGCATTGGTGACACGTGTAAGTATAGAATATATACTATCTAAATCAATGAATCAATGACTCATCTATGCCACCTGGTAAAATGGACAGCATACAAGCAGTTGTAATTTAGACATTCTAAGATTTCCCAGTGTGTCTTTACAAGCATAAAACTATAGTGTGAATACATAATGCCTTAAAGAAGATAACTGATTTGGTGACTTTTATATTTGGTTGTGGAAATATACTTCGGTGAGTGGCTTAGATCGCTGACTTTGTGTGGTGGCGATTCTGTGCCTCACTCTGACAATCTGGGTTCGAATCCCGGATCGGACTAGAATCTACACTTGACTTAGAATCTGTGATTACACATCTATAGTATGTTATATTTATATGTAGGAATACAAACTAATCGTTACCCAGCAATGACGAATTATTTGTGAATATCCAAATATGTTATGTCCACAGGTTGTGCAAAGAATACCCAACGAAGAGGAAAAACCCGGACAAAATGAGTGAAGCATGAGTGGCACGGTGACAGCCGTGTTGAACCACACATCTGACACTGCCATATTCGAGAGCTAGGATAACAGGAAGGGCTGATTTGCAATTTAACATAACAGCTTTGTGATCGAATGACACATACATAAAGCACAATGTGCAGCCAGCAGGTAGACATGCTCTATTTAGGTCCTGTGAACAAAACACTGCACACAAACAGGCCTGTATTGCCTACCCGAACTGTCACAGCATATCACGTCCTGGTGTGGTGTCCGTGATGAGTGTACCTGTATATCTCACCTGAGATATTTGATCACTCACTCGGGCGACAGAATTCATACATTCCATATATTTAGGCATCTATATATATTTCATATCCCCAAATCACGGGTTAATATCTTTTATATGACGAAGTTGGTTGCCTGTGAATAAAACACACACTGTCACTTTTTACTACATTATGAGATGCAGCTTTATTTAGCTTCTACGACCACACAACTCAAACCGGTTTTGCATTGCCTACCCAAGCTGTCACTTGAAACACTTCCTGGTGTGGTGTTACAGGCGGGACTGTGTCTCCATGATGGCTGTGGTTGTACCTCTGGGCTGAGTATTAGATATGCATTTATGACCATGAGCAGTTTAGTTCTTGACAAGGTAAGTTAACGTGGCAAAATGACGGTCGAAGGTAATGTAGGGGTAATGTACAAATAAACATACACGATTTTTATTTATTACGTTTTGTTGGTTTGAATGGTTTAATATGTGACGTTTGGGAGGAATTAAGTGACCTCAAATGCACCAATTGTTTGAGAGAAGCACGAGTTACGAATAGCAACTTCTTGTTGTGAAGGATCAAGCATACACTCCTGAAACGTCGTGTTATTCACAATAAAGAAGCTGACGTCCATAAATCTTGCTTTTCTTATGCATTCCACTTCTAAATGCCCTTCTAAGATTTGACCAGTCTTTTATTTGGACCTATTAGTAGAGCCTCTGGCTCTGAGTGACCATTTCACATTATTTTGTTATTTTTGTTAGTTTCATAATGGGAAATATGCTATCATAAAGGTCAAAGTCTTATACATTTTGTAGGACTGTATAATGACAATCTAGTCAAGGATCTTAGTTACTGGAGGTCACATGAGATTTTAAGCTCAAGTAGTTCACCTAAATCATGTAAAACCACTCACTTTTTGTTTTCATTTTACAACAGTTCATGTTAACACATGTTAATACTCGGAAGTTGAATCTGAATGAATCACTGACATACAGTAACAATAATTACATACTGCATTGAAGTGCATTCTGTTGAAGCAAACAACACTGACCATGAAAATCATGTTATACTATTACCTGTATCATTATGTTCGGAAAACTTTGTTGCATTACAGTACTTCAGTTAAACATTCTACTTTAAAGCTCTATACTATTTTATTTATCTGTAAACCATTGGCATACATTCATACACAATGGGGACGGGTAGCCTGAAAGTATGGTGTAACAGCAACTAAGAAGATGATGTCGCACACAGAGAGCTATTATGAATTCATGATGTACGCACTTGGACAGAAACATTCCAGTCAATATATCACAATATGTATTGCAATATCTCTTAAATGATTGCAATATATCGCGATATGAGAATCAGCGCAATATCCAGCCTTAGTTCTCAGGGACACCACCCGTGGTGTAGTGGTTAGAGCGCCCACCCGGAGAGCAGAAGTTCGTGGGTTCCATCCCCGGCCGCGTCAAACCGAAAGATGTTAAAATATGGTACTTGTTTGTCCCTGCCTGGCGTACAATAAGAACTGGTCCGTTCGGGAGTCAGTTTGTTTCGAAGTGGGGTATTCATGTTTAACTGGTATCTCAGTGGGCTAGCACTATAAAACCAGCTTAAGTCTGGGCTAGTACAAGCAGCCACACATACACACACATGCACGTCGTCAAATGAGCGAAACTTTCTTAATTACACCTCACCTACCATTCTCAGGTGTCACCCATTCGCCGTCCACTTGAGATGAGAACATCACTGGTCGCCATGGCGTTTTTGGCTGGAGTACTTTCTTGTGCGGGTCATTGGGCGTCAGGTAAGTGTCTGATATGTGAGCGAAGAACAATCAGTTCCACTTGTAGTGGTCAAGTGGAAATACTGTACAAGAACATAAGATGTTACCAAAAGGGTCAAATCTATGTTCCAGCATCTGTCATTGTCGGTCTGACAAGTTACCCGCAGTCTGCCACAGAAGGAGTCGAATTCACACTGTCCTGTACACCCACATATAGGGGTGATTTGATAGGTGTCAACTGGTACAGAAACAATGTTGAAATATTCAAGACAAGCAGTGATGCCGACGTATCTACTTCAATACAGAATCCCAACACCATTTCATCTGAATACCGCGCTGTGGCAGGACGTGTCACTGTCAGCTCCTCCCTCCAACAACACAACGTGACACTCAGGATCAACTCTACACTCGACCAGGGCTCTGTGTGGAAGTGCAAGAGTGGGAAGCGTTTCAGCAATAACGTCACTGTGGAGATTACAGACAACACTGAAGGTACAAGCAAAATAATACTTAACACCATAACGTGAGAAGACCTTTAGAAATAGTACTTACTCTTAAAATAGATTCTGGTTGATTCATTTCCCGACGTATGACACTCGTTTTTTCTTAACGTCGTTCTCAGCAATAAAATACGTGTATGAAAACGGATCGTAAAGGATCGAATATGGACGAGGAAAATCGGGGTTTAATAGTATGATCATGTGACACGGCTTTAGGGTTCAATGACATGTGCAAAGTCCAGAAAGAGTTTGAAGACAAACTCTATGTCGAGAAATATTCTTTTAGGAACGTTAGAATATGCCCTGTTGTTCGGAGACCTTGCGCAGGCTCTTGTCAAAGGTGTTAGCATCGTTGGATTCAATGCCCCAGGGAAGGTTACAGGATTCTTTATGGTAGACAGGTTGACTTATTTCCCCATTTGATGACTCGAAATTGTTCTCGGATGCAATTCGATTTTTTGGCTTCCAGTTAAGTTCAGGGCCCCGTTTCACAAGCTGTCGTAGTGTTTCGACTGTGGTAACTTTATGTTAAAGTATAGGAGGTTTGACCTCTATCATTCCAATTGACGCAGACACATACTTATAGTTGATTTGTTTGCTTTGTTGCTTTGAGTGGCAGGAGAAGTTGATGTCTTGGTTGTAGTCGTAGTCATAGACGTAGCCGTAGCGGTTATACTAGTAGCAGTGGTAGTACTGTTCGTCGTCGCAGTTGTGGTGGTGGTAGTAGGAGCAGTAGTAATTGTGGTGGTGGTGTTCGCTGTAGAAGTAGTAGTATTCATCGTCTTAACGGTAGTAGTATTAGTAGTTGCAATCGCAGTAGTAGTGTGTGAGTGAGTTTTTGGCAATATTCCAGCAATATCACTGCGGGGACACAAGAAATTGGCTTGACAGAAGGTGCCTATGTGGGGAATTAAACCCGGGTCATCAGTGTGACGAGCGAACGCTTTAACCAATAGGCTACCCCACCGATCCACAGTAGTAGAATAGTAGTTGTAGTTGTAGAAGTAGTTGTGGTAGGAGTAGTAGTAGTAGTAGTAGTAAATGTAGTAGCAGTAGTAGAAGTTGTAGTCGTAGTAGTAGTAGTAGTAGTAGTAAATGTAGTAGCAGTAGTAGTAGTAGTAGCAGTAGTAGAAGAAGTAGTAGTAGTAGTAGTGGAAGTAGTAGTAGTAGGAGTAGTAGTAGGAATAGTAGTAGTAGTAGTAGTAGTAGTAGGAGGAGTAGTGAGTGAGTGAGTTAAGATTTTAAGTCACATCGGCAATATTTCAACAATTTCGTGACTACAAACAAGCTTTAATTTTACAATAAATAAAGGTAAATTATAAACAAAACTGTCTGCAAAGGACAGTAAAACTACTAGTTTTGTCACAGATTTCAATGTAAAACTAGTAATTAACACTAAAACATTTTAACATTTTAGCAGTCAACGTCACAAAGCCCAAATCTGCGATCTATAGTACAACACTGACGACTAGAGTACGACATACAGGTGTGTTTGTGTAGACGATCTCTTGCAATGTATTATACGTCTTTCACTGACCACTTAACTCTCTACAGTGTCATGGCCAATTGTGCTCCTTTAAAAGATTTGAGTGAGTGAGTTAATATTTAACGTCACATCGGCAATATTTCAGCCATATCGTGACGAGAACTTTTGATATTGAAATGAAATATATGTATATTATAAAAAACCTGCCGACGAAGGACAGTAAAACAACTAGAATATCACAGATATGTATGTAAAACTAGTAATTAAATCTAAAACGTTTTAACTATAGAGGAAAAACAATACATTATAAAAATGGGCTATAAATCGCCAATAACTGAAGGTAGATCACCATACCAGGGACCATGGGGACTTACATTACTTTTGCTACCTGCATGGACCCTAGTTGGATTTATACCATCCCTTCAAACATTGGCGACAGAAGAGAAATCTAGCCATAAATGAAAAGCACACATATTCTACGATTAAAAACGTGGCAAGCCTAAATTTACTCTAAATGTTTTGGGACTTACGTATGATTGTTTTGAACTCAAGCATAAGCAATATATAATCTTACACCTGTCATAACGTATGTGATTTGATTTTATCACACTTAGATCATATCAATCTTGCAGTATTGTTTGATTTAGTGAATTCAAAATTATTGTGGCACACACACCTACCACACACGCACGCGGGCACGCATGCACATACACACACACACTACGACTTCAGACATACGGAATTCTATAGTGAAATACTTACTCCTGTATGTCTTAAGGTTTCAGCACGACAGCCCCGATGGAGTCTATAAAACGTAGGTATCAACTATAAAGTAATGCAGTTTGTATAATCTGATCGAGACATCCCGCATACAAGGCTTGGGAATCAATGATATATTAATTATCGTAGAATGACTACAATGGTTTATTGATCGATGGCATAAATTGTGATTAACTTGCTTTTCGTATGAATTTTCGTCACGAAATAAACAGGATCTTCGTACTTTCTGTCACTTATGCAGATGAAATTATCTACGCTGTCGCTGGCTCCGTGGGTGGTGTGGTGGTCGTCGTTGTCATCATCATCGTTGTACTATTGTGCACACTATGCAGAAGAAGAGGTATATATTAATAATAAATTATAAAATGCACACCATCATTCTTCTACTCCATATTTTATATAAGGCTCATAGCTTTTTGGTGAAATCTAAGCGCATTCCACCTCAACTTACTCATTGGCGATGTGTGTATGAACTGAACACGATCAAGATTGCATCTTTAATTGTTAATTTTTTTTCAGAAAATGCAAAGGAAGAAAAACACGGGTAAGTGATTGTTGTTATATTTCTCGACACTAACCTGAATGCATAGTATTACCTATATGTGGTAGTTGGAATCAGCAACGTCAAGCAAGACAGGGTGGTGTAAACATGAATCAAGCTAGATACGGTATAGGACGCTTGCTCCATCTTTGTCTCTGTAAATGATTTGAGTGACTGCGTGAGTGATTTTCGTTTTATGCCGCTTTTAGTAATATTCCAGCAACATGACGGCGGGGGACACCAGAAATTGGCTTCACACATTTTACACATGTGGTGAATCGAATCCGGGTTTTCGGAGTGACGAGCTTTAAATACACTTTAACTACTAGGCTATCCCACCGCCCCTTAAAGGATTAGAGAAGATGTACAACGAAACAGGACAATCGTGTCTCTGCATGGGTCTGTGATAGGTGCCACCTTTGGCAAAGGAAACGCCCACCTGTCGCGAATGATCGAGTATCATAATTCATTAACAGTGATACATATACACATGCTCCTGATACAGTCGGAATGGTAAAAACATTTAAAGACATATTGCCATATCCCATAAATCCACGGTATTTTTGACCGAGATAACATATTTGTGATTATTCTGTTCCTTGAATATTCCAGCAAAGAAGGGAGATTCAATGAGGATTCTAAAAGAGAGACAATCCGTATGTTTATTTTTTATCTTAACCATTTATGAGTCTCTCTTATATATAATTTATATCTCAGATACTTTTTGTCAATGATACCTGAACGCCGGGTGTTATTTACGATCTTACAAATCTCAATAGTTACATTCAAATTGCATTTTGTTCTCTCTTCAAGTGATGGAAGATAACGATCTCTACAGACAATATGCCGACAAGGGTGTCGACGGAACTGAACACCAGGTGTCAACAGAGAAACAGGAGGTGATAGGTAGGCTATATAGGCTATATTGTTCAATGCTAAAGTGATGTATATAAAGATCCATTACAATGCTACAGTAACATGTTTTTGTAGGGAGGTAGGGAATCCTAGTGGCGAAAGCGTTCGCCCGTCACGCCTTAGACCAAGGTTCGATTCCCCACATCGGACACAATGTGTGAAGCCCATGGTGTCCCCCACCGTGATATTGCTGGAATATTCACTCACTGTTTTTGTATCGATATTTTGTGCATGGCGTCAATATCACGTATCATAAAGCTACGTGTCACTCATGTTATTTGACGGTATGATGAGGCAGTGTAATGTATTTGTAGGCATGAAAAATGTAATTCTGCTTACAAAAACCGAACAAGTCAATAGTTACATCTGCACCTGCGTATATAACATGATTAGGTAATGCAATAGAAAACACTCATTTAGACAGTCCAAGACAGATCGAAGCCATATGTTTATTCATATAGTCCGTCTACTTTCTGTGTTCAGTGATGGAAGATAATGACGAGTATCACGGATTTGTGAAAGCTGAAAGTCAGAAGCCAGCAGAAAAGCAGCAGGTGCCAGGTAAGTTATTCCTTGTTCTGGAACCTGGATTTTCTTTGATAAGATGTGGTTGGTAACAATATTTATGTACATTAACCGTGGTTTCATTATCCGGTAACTATTTATGTACCCCCGTCCCCTTTCATGGTCTTGGACTGGCAGTTCAACATGACAACGCTACATCCATATCGTAGTTAGCAACTTCTTCTGTAACGCCTGTGATGATGCCATGGCCATAAGGAGACGCGTTGTTGCCGCTACGGCCGTTGTAGGGGTCACACTAAGTCTTGTTCTTGACTTCTGTTCGCGTTGGAGGATGGGACAATCATCTGCAGTTCGTTTGTACTGTTACATGGATGAAAGCAGTGTGTTACACTTCTGTATTCATATCAATGCACTTATTCGTGTGTGTGTGCGTGTGCGTATGCTTGCGTGCGTGTGCCAACTATGATAGTATCACCCACAACATTTGTATGTACAGTAACTGTTTTATTTTATACTGACGTGTTTTCTCATCAACATAGACGAAATAAGAATATTTGTATATATACCTAAGATGCATTCTAAGACGAGAACTAAATGACCTTTGTTCTCCATTTAAGATGTGTATTCAAAGGTCAACAAGGTGAAGAAAACCAACAATGCAACAGAAGTACAGATCACTCTGAATATTGAAGACCTGTATGCGAAGCCCATCAAACCAGCAAACAGAAGGAGTGAATGTAAGCCCAAACAAAACTATGTTCTCAAGTGTCATCTGTATTGATAGATATTTATCAACAAGGTTATACATAAAATAGTTTGCACAGCATAAGAACTGCTCACGTCAGAGTAATTTAACCTATACCGTGGCATTGACAATCTCCTAGACATTTATGTAACATTGAGTACAAATCTTACAACAGAAGTGACATTCTCCCATCAATCATGTAACATTATCATATCAAAAGACGTTAAATATGGTTCCCTGCCTGATCGTCTTGGAGTATAATGTGTCTATACATATACACCTCACCTCATGTAACATGGAATACACGTCTTACCATGACACTGACAATCTCTAAATCATTCATGTAACACTGGATATGTTAGATGTATCGGCATGATTAATAGCTTAAAGTGTGAGCAGGCGCAGAAGCGAAGGACACACCCTTTGATTGTCAGGATGGAGGATAATGTTAGCTATACCTACGGTCTATGACAAAACGTATTTGTTGACGTGTCTATGACGTTTTCACCACTGTAGCGCTGAAGGGTGGCATCACCGTAGCCATGGTGACAGGGTACAGCACATCCAACCAAGGTTTGCTGAGACCCAACTGCTTATTGCTTATTCTTTCAGCGTCATCCTAAGTGTCATCCTACCAGAACGTGGACGTCAGCACCCTAGACTGACCAACATACGTCATCAGAAGCAGTGGTCGTTGTGGACTTCTAATACAGTGATGCTGAAAGGGAATCTTCCATATGACACGCCGTCATTACACCAACACCAACGAGAAATATATACATAATCATACATCGTAATGCACCATTATTTATTGTCACCATAACCCAAGTTATTCAAGCTTTATGACGGTTTCCTGAGAGGAAATCCAGTGATGTATTGAGATCAACGATTTGCCCCTTCGGGATACTATGACGCTCACATTTGCAGGCTCACACGACCCAAGTCGCTTGGGATGTATTTCAACTCGGTATCCCAACAGGAATGTTTTTGTTGAGTACAATCTGATACAGTTTACTAACATGTTATGATGATTTTGTTATTATTCTCTGTTTTACGTTGCATCATTGTTCTGAATGCTGTATATCCACAAAAAACGACTTTTGCCATTTTCTCCCCAAAATGCACAGTGAAAAATCACCGTCTCAAACTCACAATTAGCGGAGAATAAAATGGATTAACATAAAAAATACCCTAATTCATGAAATACTATTAGATACGTCGGTGAACAGAAATGAACCAAGCGTTGTTGAGTATGAAAGGAAAAACATGATTTTGGAACAGAGGTTAGGGGAGTGAATAGATATAAATAAGTTACTATCTTGTTTCTATTATACTTACGACATTTTTTTATTAAAATCATTATGTAGTAAAACTATATGCGAGTCTGTAAAAGGCTCTTCTGTGCCTGTTTTGGTTTCTGTTTTGGTGCCTGTTTTGGTTTCAAGTAAGCCGCTTACTTTGCGTGAAGGGTACCAATTCACGTATATATCTTTTAGAGTCATCATTAGATGTTTGCCAAAGTAGCATTCTGAATCCCTTGTTATTTACTTTCGTTATTGATGAATTGGTTAAACTGTGATCAGTGAATATTTGTCATTGAGCACATCAATATACTGCTAAATTTGTTTGCTGATGATTTCCATATAAAGTGTCAAGTCTGCAAAAACAATTGATTATTTTAGAAATGTTTCGTAACACATTACAACCTCGAGTTACCATGGGTGAGTCTAAGTTAATGTATTTGAGTAATGCTTGTCTCGTTTGCATACATGAAAAATGGGTCTTCTGTAATAGGAAAAAAAAGATATCAAACTAAGACGCTTTCATGTTGATGTACTTGTAACCTGTGAAAAATAAGGATCCGTAACTTATCACATTTAAACAATATAAATATAATCGGTATTCCCCAAAAGTATTGCTCCTCCAAATTAATATAAACAACAACTTGTAAATATTGCAAAGTGCACGAAAGCAACATAAAATCACAGCTGTTGCAACATGCTGTCAAATGTGACTTCAGCATGAAACGTTGCAATGATTTAAAGTCTTGTAGGTTTTACATTTTTGCTTGTAGAGTGTTCATAACTGGAAGCTGAAGACACTGCCTGGTACTTATACGTTTGGCCATTTGCCTCATTGCTAATGAAACATGTCAGTCTGTTGGAGCAGTTTTTCACGTGCCAAAGAGCTACACCAAATTACTATCTTATATTCTACTGATGTATCATATGTTATGTAACAAGTGCTTAATAAATGATCGCCTACATGTAGTTATTGGCAGTACGTATGTTTTACTGCCTTGTGAGATTTGGTATCAAACAGTTATGTGGTTGTCCACAACTGTTGGAATGACACGGGATGTAAAGGTACAGCTACGTAATATACGCGGTAGCAACGTACGTTGTCTTTACGTTCTGTTTAACGTTAGACCCGCGAAGATCCGGGTTAGAATTGATGTTCAGTAACCCATGCTTGTCGTAGGAGGCGACTAACGGGATCGGGTGGTCAGGCTCGCTGACTAGGTTGACACATGTCATCGTATACCGACATCGAAGATCGATGTTCATGCTGCTGATCACTGGAATGTGTAATTTAATCACACACTGACCGCGAAAAGAACCAGGTGTTGGCGAAAAGGCCTGAGCCTGCCAGTACATCCCGCACCCTTGCTGGCCTCCATCAAAGACACATGCTGAGGCAGTGTATGAAATAAACAAAAAAAACCAAGCCAGACATCATAGATTCGTATGTACATTTTGTTATTCCATGTAGAACTGCAAAGTTAACCGTTACGGTATCGATGCTTTTATTTACGTACAGGGGCCGCGGGCTGATCACACAGGTACAGATGTGTACAAACATGACAAATTAAATATGGTACAGGAAGAATAATACAATCTATACACGATGCTGCAGGTTTTTCTTGGAAAAAGGAATTATGTTGTTTTTTTCAAAGCGAGAAATACTTATTTTGCAAGTTTATTGCAGACACATTAACTTTGTTACTTGAAAATAATATTGTGGAATAAGACTGGAGCGCAAATCTGAGTAAAATGGGCACACTGGCAAAAATGGAATTCATCTTCAACTTTGGGATAACACACAACCGTAACTGACCCCATCCTTACAGACCTATTGAATGAAGGAGATTCAAAACAGTCTGTTGTATGTTTTCTTTTACGGAATTCGAAACTCAAATCAATGCTCTTAATAGTTCTGGAATTTGTGTGACGTCTATAAAATGCGAAAAATGGTTATAAATTTGACTGCAGCTGTTCTGTGTTCGTTCAACTGTGAAAATCCAAAAGTGTAAGATATAAATATTCATGAAGTTATTGTAGGAATTCATTGTACGAATTGATTTTAAACAAAATCTTGTGAAAATATATTTTCCAATGTATGTGTTAGGATGTAAAACCGATGGAATGAGGCACATAGATGTGACAATTCAGGTTACAGGTATCCAGCAACACATGCTTGTTATAGAGGTGCCTTGCGGGATAGCGACCCATGCTTGTTATAGAGGTGCCTTGCGGGATAGCAACCCAGGCTTGTTATAGAGGTGCCTTGCGGGATAGCAACCCATGCTTGTTATAGAGATGCCTTGCGGGATAGCAACCCAGGCTTGTTATAGAGGTGCCTTGCGGGATAGCAACCCAGGCTTGTTATAGAGGTGCCTTGCGGGATAGCAACCCATGCTTGTTATAGAGGTGCCTTGCGGGATAGCAACTCATGCTTGTTATAGAGGTGCCTTGCGGGATAGCGACCGATGCTTATTATAGAGGTGCCTTGCGGGATAGCAACCCATGCCTGTTATAGAGGTGCCTTGCGGGATAGCAACCCATGCTTGTTATAGAGGTGCCTTGCGGGATAGCAACCCATGCTTGTTATAGAGGTGCCTTGCGGGATAGCAACCCATGCTTGTTATAGAGGTGCCTTGCGGGATAGCGACCCAGGCTTGTTACAGAGGTGCCTTGCGGGATAGCAACCCATGCTTGTTATAGAGGTGCCTTGCGGGATAGCAACCCAGGCTTGTTATAGAGGCGCCTTGCGGGATAGCAACCCGTGCTTGTTATAGAGGTGCCTTGCGGGATAGCAACCCATGCTTGTTATAGAGGTGCCTTGCGGGATAGCAACCCAGGCTTGTTATAGAGGTGCCTTGCGGGATAGCAACCCAGGCTTGTTATAGAGGTGCCTTGCGGGATAGCAACCCAGGCTTGTTATAGAGGTGCCTTGCGGGATAGCAACCCATGCTTGTTCTAGAGGTGCCTTGCGGGATAGCAACCCATGCTTGTTATAGAGGTGCCTTGCGGGATAGCAACCCATGCTTGTTATAGAGGTGCCTTGCGGGATAGCAACCCATGCTTGTTATAGAGGTGCCTTGCGGGATAACAACCCATGCTTGTTATAGAGGTGCCTTGCGGGATAACAACCCATGCTTGTTATAGAGGTGCCTTGCGGGATGGCAACCCATGCTTGTTATAGAGGTGCCTTGCGGGATAGCAACCCATGCTTGTTATAGAGGTGCCTTGTTGGATAGCAACCCATGCTTGTTATAGAGGTGCCTTGTTGGATAGCAACCCATGCTTGTTATAGAGGTGCCTTGCGGGATAGCAACCAATGCCTGTTACAGAGGTGCCTTGCGGGATAGCAACCCATGCTTGTTATAGAGGTGCCTTGTGGGATAGCAACCCATGCTTGTTATAGAGATGCCTTGCGGGATAGCAACCCAGGCTTGTTGTAGAGGTGCCTTGCGGGATAGCAACCCATGCCTGTTATAGAGATGCCTTGCGGGATAGCAACTCATGCTTGTTATAGAGGTGCCTTGCGGGATAGCAACCCATGCTTGTTATAGAGGTGCCTTGCGGGATAGCAACCCATGCTTGTTATAGAGGTGCCTTGCGGGATAGCCAGCCAGGCTTGTTATAGAGGTGCCTTGCGGGATAGCAACCCATGCCTGTTATAGAGGTGCCTTGGGGGATAGCAACCCATGCTTGTTATAGAGGTGCCTTGCGGGATAGCAACCCATACTTGTTATAGAGGTGCCTTGCAGGATAGCAACCCAGGCTTGTTATAGAGGTGCCTTGCGGGATAGCAACCCAGGCTTGTTATAGAGGTGCCTTGCGGGATAGCAACACACACGCTTGTTATAGAGGTGCCTTGCGGGATAGCAACCCATGCTTGCATTGTTATAGAGGTGCCTTGCGGGATCGCAATCCATGCTTGTTGTAGAGGTGCCTTGCAGGATAGCAACCCATGCTTGTTATAGAGGTGCCTTGCGGGATGACAACCCATGCTTGTTATAGAGGTGCCTTGCCGGATGGCAACCCATGCTTGTTATAGAGGTGCCTTGCGGGATAGCAGCCCAGGCTTGTTATAGAGGGGCCTTGCGGGATAGCAACCCAGGCTTGTTATAGAGGTGCCTTGCGGGATAACAACCCATGCTTGCATTGTTTTAGAGGTGCCTTGCGGGATAGCAACCCATGCTTGTTATAGAGGTGCCTTGCGGGATAGCGACCCATGCTTGTTATAGAGGTGCCTTCCGGGATAGCAACCCAGGCTTGTTATAGAGGTGCCTTGCGGGATAGCAACCCATGCCTGTTATAGAGATGCGTTGCGGGATGGCAACCCATGCTTGTTATAGAGGTGCCTTGCGGGATAGCAACCCATGCTTGTTATAGAGGTGCCTTGCAGTGCTGTTGATCTCGCTCTCATCATATACAGTGATACCGTGTTCTGTTATATGACTTCCATATTACAATTGCCAGAAGACGTGCATTGGTCCGCCTTGGTTGTGGAAATCTGGAGTCGTGTATCCGCACTCTACAGTGTGTGGTCGACACTTAAGTCTGAGGTGATCTTCTGTAAAGACTTGTGATCCTCTATAAACACTTGTGATGGACTATACAGACCTTTCATCATCTGTGGAGACTGGTAGGCCTTTATAAACAGTTATGACACCCATACGTTCAATGGTTGCCTGTAATCTGCTTCTGCTATCAAACTTTGTTCACTCAGTGTCCGAAGTTCCCACATCTAGGGAAAGAGGATGTGAAGGCCAAAGTCACAGTCAAAGTCAAAGCGTTTATTGCATGAAAGGCCATTGGCCTATATACAAATCATAGATACAATATGTAAACATATTCGTTCTGCTGTAATCATTCATTCAATTATTTAAACCATGGATGTTAGCATTCAGTGAGCTGGTAGAATAATCATACAATAGAATTTCTTAGTTTCAGTGCGTGATGTACATACAAAGCAAGATCAGACAAAATTGCTTCATTGTTTGTAGCCAAGAGCTTAGTAAAAACGGGAAAACTGACATGGTTAGGACAATAATGTTCGCCAAGATTTTTTTTGCAGTAACTTAAAAGTTGGGCACAAAAATATAAAATGGAATTCATCTTCAATTCCAGATCTACACAAAGGGCATAATCGTAAAGACGTTTCTAAATCATATTTTCTACCTTCATTGATCATTAGATTTGTAAGACCAAGTCTAAATCGAACAAATGTGTTTCTAATATTTTTAGCATGAAGACAGGATAAATATTTTTCAGGTTCTAAGGTATCCTTAAAATAGACATAGGAGGTATAACGTGATCAGTCACTTAAAGTTGACATCCAGCCTTGCAGAAAGTTATCAATCAAACGTTGTCGAAAATCGGTGATAAACATATTTACATTTTCCACAGATTTTGACAGCCATATATACTACCCATCAAAAGTTTAGACTCACTAGTGTAAATGTAGCCACTTACTTGTCCACTGTTCTAAACTAGCTTTTTTGCAAAATATTCAATACTGTTTAAAGGTACTGTTTAGTTATGAACTGGTGTATTGTAAAACATATTCGTAACATTGAAAAGATTATTGTCATGAGTTCAGTAAATGATTAAAATCTGTGAAAATTGGCGAATTCTTAACAAAACTTTACACCAAAACGAATCTGTTCACATGCACGACATTTGCTCATGCCTTTCGCAATTTGAAGCATCATCCTTGTGCAATTCATCTGCATGAATCTGTAACCACATACATATACATAACATATAGTGAGTGCTTTAAGTGAGTCTAAACTTTTGATGGGTAGTATATATCAAAAACCAAGAGAGAAAAGTAACATACGGATGTGAGAAGCCCATGTGACTTTGCCAAGATTATCATAGTGCAATAGCATGTTGTAAGCAAGTTTGGGTAGGCGATGTGCTGGCATTCTTACAATTCTAATCCAGAATCGAATACATTTTACGTTAGTAAAACTACAGAGAAGGCAGCAAAGAGCATTATAAAAGAAAATATTGGCACCAGGTTGTGCCAGTCAAGATGTATTGAAACTGGCGGTTGTTTGAGAATTGAATTCAGTTATGAAACATTAACCTGCCGTCTTCAACTTGGGGAATCAAAACCAAGTGCGATGAATGAAGGATTCGTTGTTTTTGATAAGAACAATCCAGATGTAAGTTGGATATATGTTTAAATATGTATATGTTATTTAGCATTGCAGGTGAAAGATTTAGACCATTATAATGTACAGAAGAAAAGCCGCTTTTTTTTACAAATGTATACCGTTTTTTTCTTCTTGCATTAGTCTCAGTATGTGAATTGTAGTCTATGCAACGTTTGGCATAGTCTTTCCATACACCCGAACAAGGGAACGAGATATCAGCTTCACACATTGTAATCAAATGGAGAATGAAAATAGGGTTGCTAGATAAACTTTTAACTTGAGTCAAGATATTTCAAATCAGGAACATTGTGTCAAGAAATGAACACTTCTTGTGTCTAGAAACGAACTCTTCTGGTGTCAAGAAATGAACACTTCTTGAAAAAACGCATTTGTTCTCCTGGGACATACGGTCAAAGTTACTCAAGGGATCACAAAAAAATATGTTGACTCTGTGAGCTTTTTGTGAGGAGTTGCCTACACACACCCAGTTCACAATTTGTTTCCATTGCCAGGTACCACCTGGTCTCTGCTCAGCCATGTCTTGTAGTGTCAATGATAGATGTCTTGAGAGCCGGTCTAGAAATGCTGTTTGTGTTAAAGGTAATTTCAGTCCTGATTAGTCTAATTATCTTGAAATGAAGTCAAGTGTCCCTTTTGTCATAAATATTCGAAAAAAAGGAGATCAAATTTTAAAATGTTTACAAATGAGAAAACCTATATTTATTTGAAAAAAATGCACTCATTAAAACTCTTGCTTTATAAAAACTCAGAGAAAGACTCAGAATGATAAACATGAATGTTATTCAATTTCTAAAGCTCTTCGTTTTGAAAAAGGTATGTTTTAAAAGTTGAATGTTTCAAGTTCTTTACATGTTTAGCGAGCAAATATGTTTACCATTACTATTTTACAAAGGTTGAGACACCTTTATTTAAAGAATTTCTCTTTATTTGGGGAAGATTCTCAAGAAAACATACAAACAGTGATCAGATATGTGACCTTATTATGTCAGAAGCTTCCTCGTGTAATGATCCAACTGTTATCCAAGAAAGATAATAGGGGAATGAAATATATTTTGCAAAAAGATATTGAAATTCAAGGTATCTCTTTGGGTTGTGCTAGGTTAAAGCGCCCAAACCCTTTCCATATTGATACGAAATCTCTCATAATGGCATTATCGATTGCACAATCACAAGTATGTGTAACACAAAGGGTTTTTTAAAGATTATATTAGCATATTCCCAGCAATCGAAACATACCCACAACATAATTCACTCTTTATAAGTGAGTTATCGTAATCTTGATTAAATAATCAAAGGTCCATTATAAACAAATGTATTTACAGATGGAGAGTTCTATGTTTCAAGTTCACAACAACGTGGACGAGATCGGAACAGAAAGTATGGAGATTGCGTCGATGGAGACCGTGTTATAAGTCCACGTTAATACAGTAGGGAGAGGGAGTGCAGGGAGACGCAAGTGATATTGACGCCGCGTATGGGACAAAGGGGTGTGTTTGATTGTGTAAAGGATGGCATGTGTCAGGTGTTGATAATAGGGGCAGTCACGACGAACAAGGTGACATAATGGAATATAACTAGAGACATCTTGGGACAATGCATGAGAAATATTCCATTTTATACTGTTGTAGTATTTTTTCAGTTTGTCATTTTTTTTCGAAACATTCGCAAGGATGTTGTATGTTTCATGACTAATCCTGACCTTTGAATATAGTTACTAAATGCATCTGAAGACTCATTGTTGATTTTAAAGTGTGTTTAAAGAAATAAAAAATGAAACATTTATGGCATCAACAATAAATGTGATAAAAGATATTCAAAGGTTTCTGTGTGACACAAACCTAATGGTTACCAAAGACAACAAATGGTACATGTACTATTTCTAAATCAGATAGATTTTTGTTGAAATATTAGCACATTTCTGTTTGCCTTCAACATCCAGTTACATTGGGTCATTGCACACAATAATCAGCAAAAGCCATCTTGTACCGGTAATGCATTTAGTGAAAATGTTAACACAATCAGCACTCTGTCAAATGTCGAAGTACATTTAGTTAATTGTTAATAAAGTATAATGAATGTTCCAAGGCATACTTCCCATGTTCTGTGGTCTTGCTGTACATTTACAAACACACACAGTATGTACAACACCTAAATCCATTTAAGCACAAACTGTTGCCAGGGTATCAGAATATAGTGAGTGAGTTAGTTCAGTTTTACGCCACTTTTAACCATATTCCAGCTATATCACGGCGGGGGGACACCAGAAATGGGCTTCACACATTGTACCCATGTTGGGAATCGAACCCGGGTCTTCGGCGTGACGAGCGAACACTTTAACCACTAGGCTACTCCACCGCCCGGTATACAGAATATAATTTGGTACAATTATTTGCAACTCTAATGTAGCAACAAGAACAGTAAGAACAGCCAGATGTCTCCAAATAGCATAATTTGTATAACAATAGAACTATAAAGATCGTTCACTGTTAATTCCAGCCGCCGTGATATTGCTGGAATATTGCTAAAAGCGGCGTAAAACAAAACTAAACTCAGTCAGTCAGTTAATTCCAGAGACCCGGTTCTACATGATATTCACTTTATAAAATTCATAGACAATATAGATGACGACATGTATTGTTCGCAGAAAACACTGACACATCGCTGACTTTTGAATGTAAATGCTTTTATATTTGGCCTTTTAATTACCAACGTACCTGTACGTAAATATAGGTCCAAGATCGCCATTTTTGTATGTTATTCATTGTTGTCATACCAAATTATCCTCAAACCCGTTCAAGTACGCACCCCATAGGAACAAGTAATGCAATATGCTGTATATCCCCTGCAGTGTCAGATAGATGTTAACACGAATTTCTTGTCACCTTGGTATTGGTAATAAATTAATTAAAGCATGTTTGGTTGAACGTGAGCCATTGTCCTTTATACCAAAATAAACTGAAAGAAATTAACTCTAAAGCATTTGTGTAAAAAGCAAGGAATGAGGCAGTTACCACCTACAGTCACTTCCTGTATATATAAGTTTAATAATATTTGATATGATACCAGTATTTTCAAATAATTTCCACACAACACATTTCAGGAGCTTTTCAAACAGATCCAAAGAGAGTAGCCAACAGTTTTGTTTACACAGTTACACTCAGTATATTTAATTTCAACTGGAAAATATTTATCTAACACACGGGCAATATCAACTACAATATAACGCAAACAATTTATACTATTTCAGTATTTCGTTCTGGTTTTCAGACAACATATAATACTATTTTGCAAACATGTTTAAACGAAATTATTTACGTATGATATAATCACGTTACTGGCCAATATGTGTTTTTTTATGTTGGTTAACCAGCCATTTTTGAATGTCTTTTACATAAGCAAAAGAAGCACTTCACAAATATGTGACAGCATTTCCGATAACCTGTTCACCAGTCCAGTTACATATGCATCTGTTGAAAGGTGAAGATCCTCTGTCTTCATCAAATCACCATGTTTAACAGATCGGCAGCATTAATTTTGATGTTTAGAAAGAAATAGTATGGTTTGATATTTTTTTCCTTTGGGTAAATTTGTAGCTGAGATTTACTGCCCTGGAATTAACATGTAGGGCTAACATAATTTTAATCATATTATCTTTATTGGTTTCAACTGAAGGTAGTAAAAGTTTACAGTCGTGAGCGTCCGAAGGGATTGGAGTCATGCAAGGGAACCTAACATCCCAACAGTGGTGGCCTGACTTTGGTGGATGGCGCTCTCTTGCTTGTCAAGCATTTGTGTGTAGTGAAATATTTTTGTGTTTCATACTATATGTAAACATAAATGTGCGATAGTGTACTTATGTAACTGTCCTTTCTGTCACGACTAGGTTAAAAACCTGTCAGTGACTTTACATTAGTAACTCACTCCAGTGTTACACCGGTATTTCACAGAAAGAAGACCTGTTCCAGTTGCAATAATAGGTCCCTATGGACCCATGATACAGGAGTCCACATCCATCAATTTCTATTCCAGTTTGTCCAGGGAGATAAGTTGAACCGTCCGTCCAGGTGACTGCTCCACCCACCCTTTGCAGACCAATATGCGCTGTAATGAATGAAGAAACGACATGAGAAAAGTCAAACCAAACTGGCAACAGCCTTACCACTAACAATTCTAGAAACTACAGATTATATGTCCACAATTGTCTACAGATCCCCACTGACAGGGCGTTGAGAGCGACTAACTATACGTACACAAAATTAGCAAGTCCCCCTTTGTACCCTAGAAAATAGAACCTTCAATAATGAACTGATCCATTATCTATGGACGAAATCCAGAAAAGGAAATGCAGATCAGCCCATTCTCAAAACAACCAAGCGACTTCTGAATACAACGGAACCTATTCTGAATACAACCCAGCTCATTCAGGAACAATGCTTTTCGATCTATGGAGCAGCACAGGCGAACGGACGTTGGTGACGTTTCTGTTAAACGCGACTCTCAAAAGAGTTCCTGCATTATAAAGACAGACATAAAGACCCAAAGGTCAGCTGGATCCTGTAGGCTTACACAAGTTGTCAGAAATATCAAATCAAATACCATCAGTTGCTGGCCATCAATAGCCCATTTTTTACATTGTATTGTGCAACAAAATACTGAACATCATTGAAAATGCACCACCTGTAAATTTTGAAATATGGTAATCTGATTGTTTTGAGAGTGAAAATGAACGTTGGAAATGTTGCTGATAACAGAAGAACGGATTGCCCGAACACATGATGGAACACATCACATGACAACAACAAAATTCATGCACAACACACCCGAAAAGCACAAATTGCATGCGTAAAACATGCTGATAATTGACCGTCGGCAAAAAACCGTTCTCATTTTAGCTGTACCTCCGCAAGTAAAGTTTATTTTGCAATGCCAAGATTGTCACCAGAGGAACGAGAACGGGCGTTGGGCATGTTGCAGGTTGGCACATCAAGCATGATTATTGCCAGACGATTTGGTTGCCATCATTCCACCATCTTAAGACTTGCCAACAGGTACCAACAAACAGGAACCATCAGGGACCGCCAACGTCCTGGCCAGGTACGTGTTACCACCCTTCGCCATTGATCGACGCCCTTATGTTGGACCCATCCTGACTGATGGACATCGCGGTGAACGCCGACGACGGTCGGAACAGCATCGTGTGTGGTTGTTACGACGTGGGCATGGTGTTGTGTTCTCCGATGAGTCACGTTTTCACTTGCGAAATGCTGACGGGCGTCTACGGGTATGGTGTCGACGGGGAGAACGTTACCATCAGGACTGTGTTGTGCAAATAGATCGGTGGGGAGGGGGTAGCATTAAGGTGTTGGGAGGGATCAGTTATCATCGCAAAACCACTCTGGTAGTTTGTCGTGGCAGAGTGAATGCCCTAGAGTGAATTACTACCGTGACACCATTCTTCAGAACAACGTCGTTCAGTTCTTTAACCAACATCGAGATCTGCACACATTCCAGCAGGACAATGATCGAGCGCACACTGCACGTGTTGCAACACAGTTTCTGGCAAACAACAACAACATTCCTCTACTTCCATGGCCTGCATTGTCACCAGATTTGTTTCCCACTGAACACTTGTGGGATTACATCGGCCAACGCCTCTCACGTCGCCCACAGATCAACAACCTTGGGGAACTTGAGAATGCCTTGCAACAAGAGTGGAATGCATTGCCTCAAAACATTATTCAGAGACTTATCAGTTCAATGAAGAGACGTTGCCCAGCGTGTGTTGTTGCTAACGGTGGTCATACACGTTACTGTCTTTCCAATTTGACCCCATCTTTCTTTCATGGTCAGCTGAATTAAAACTTCACTGTTTTGCTGGATTAGTTCTTGTTTCCTTTCTTTACCAGCCATTGGACTACAAGCGTATGTCAAATTTACACCTATTGCTCATTTATGCTCTTGGAAATCCAAACTAATACAGGTGGTGCGTTTTCATTGATGTTCAGTATAATTTTCTACTTTTAAAGATATATGCTAGCTAGTTTTTACTCATTTTGTCATAATCTAATAATTTTACTGTCCTTCGTTGACAGGGTTTTATGTGTTATATGTATGTATTATTTAGAACTAGTTTTAGTCACGATATGGCTGAAATATTGCCGATGTGACTTTAAATCTGAACTCACTCACTATGTTTGTAGTGGAGTGAGTGAGTGAGTGAGTTAAGTTTTACGCCGCTTTTAGCAATATGCCAGCAATACCACGGCGGGGGACACAGAAATGGCTTCACACATTGTCACCATGTGGGGAATCGAACCAGGGTCTTCGGCGTGACGAGCAAACGCTTTGACCACTAGGCTACCCCACCTCCCCGTTTGTAGTGGAAATACTTTCAACATCAGCTGTGTATTATCACTGTAGTCAGCAGCATTTCAGTTTGTTGCTGTGCCCATGGAATCACACGTCTTACATATCACATGTGTTCACGTTTGTGATAAATTCCATGAGCAGTTTTCTAAACAAACAAAAGGCCAGTCTTGTAGAAACAATGAATCTAAGATCAATCCCAGGACTCATGTGGAACATGACACAAACAAATCAAAGAAAAAAGGTTTAAAAACTGCTGTTCATCATCTGGAGATCATTTACTTTCTCATAAACGTGACATTACAAATAAAGCTCCACACTGCACTGAGATTTGAAGATGTCATTATGCGACCATTGGCCATTGGTCATTCTCGTTGTACACACATTAACACTTGTTGAAAGCTTAGAATCCTCTTTTCTGTATCTCCCTTGATGAGAGAATCACTCAGGCTTATTTTGCTTGTCTGTGTAGATTTCTCTCTCACACGGGATGTGTGTTATTATTCCTACTTTAAAGGACCTTTTAGTAATGCCATTGCTAATTTACGTCTTGGATTTTCAAGAAAAATTTAACTTAAGATATGTGTTTCGAAATTAGACAAATGTTGAGATCAACTGAGATCATAGATCGGGATGATAAAGAGTTAAAGTAATATACAAATATCATCCTTCTGACAGGGAAACGTCCATTGCTGATCAAAGTTTCGGGTTTTTGAATTTCTGTTAATTTGTGTCTGTTGAATGTTGGAAGGCAAAACCTACAACCACTGATAACCAAAGGGATGGCGTAAATGTTGGAAGAAAAAACACTGTAAGTCCTCGTGATCCCCAAGAAGGTGGCCAAACTTTGGTCGTTAGTGATAAATAGCCAAGTTTAACTGATAAGAATGAATCTATTGGCTAATTTTCTATCTTCATTTTCATTAAGCTGATTTTATTTCAAAACTGTGATATTCCAAACTAGTTTACTGTCCTTTGTTTTAAAAGAATAAAGGTATTCATCGCTGCATTGCTGTAATATAGCCGACGCGATGTAAACATTTCACTCACTCACTCGCTCCATATCATTTTAACAGGCAGACCTAGCATTATAGTAAGTCGTGGCGGTTTACTAGAAAAGTGTTATAATTCTACTTCACCAGTGGGAAAGAGGAAAGAATGAACTGAGGAAAATCGGGACCAAAGTCCCTCATTGATGTTTAGGACTGGCGTATGTGGCTAACAAGTATTGCAAATGAATCAGGACATACCGAGATTCAAACCCAGAGTTATACGTTCGTGCCACGTCGATGGGTCATTCTTCAAACAGGACGTTACCATAGATACACGAGGTTACTAAGACCTACAGTCTCAAACATTGATAAAATGGTGTCTGACGAACATCATTTCAATATCAAATGTTCTCGTCACGATATGGCTGAAATATTGCCGATGTGACGTTAAATATTAACTCACTCACTCACTCTGACGAACAGGTTCGAGACCACACCGAGGACATTTAAGCTTTCGATCACATCATTATGCAGGAAACATACTTAAAAAATAAAGAAAAGTTTCCTCATCCGGAAAAAATAGCGCGGCCAGATAATGTGACGTCATAGGGAACTTACGATATATCAACTGATCACCCAATGTGGCAACAATGTGGTCACGTTTCTCCATGGTATTCAGGATGATCAGGCGGCCGCCCTCACTCTCACATTGTTCTTGGCTGGCTGTCCAATACATTTGATCCTTTTGGTATTTGAAACACAGGTCTGCTAACGGGACTGATGTGTAGCCTTGAGACTCGGGACAATAACCTGGATTTCACAAAGACAAACGAGATATAAATGATTAAGGCCTTACGATATTTTACAAAGCAACTTTTCACAGTGACCGTGCTTTCAATTCAAATGCAACATGTATATTTGATGTCATTACACTGTGATATATCATGTGAATCATTATTTTTAAAATGCAAGCTTAATTAAGAGTATAATTTCCATTTCTGGGGATGCTATCGAAACATCTTTACATCTCTAAGGTTACGATTTGCACAATAAAAAAATGTAGTGATCTGTTGTTATACAGAAGTATGTATGTCGTCTTATGACTATTTGTCTGTTCTCATGATCATAGTTGCGCATTAACACATAACACAAAGGTCATTTGGGAGGTTATCCGGCCTACTGCATACTACTCTCACATACTGGCACCCACAACACAAACGTCAATGATATTTTTTAATCTAGCTTAGCGATATATACTAAGTAGCAAAAGAAACGTCAGTTTGAAATTTTCCTTCGCAGAAACGGATAACTGTAAACTCATTTCATGTTTTGATTTTATAACATCTCCAACTTTACCTGAGCAAAGACATTCTTTCCCAAAATCATTATTGAACCCAGGATCTCGGAGATGGTCGCGGTCTCGGAGATGGTCGCGGTTTGCTCCATGTTTTTTAATGCAACTCATGCTGCACGTGCTGTTCACAAGGACCAGCCCTATAAACTGCACCCCCAAACCTGGTTGAAACATTCACATTACAACGTCAGCAGTTTGCCGCGACTCACGCCAGCTCAGAGGAACCAGGCGCTAGGAAGATTTGAAGCTGGCCACACTGCACAAGCCGTTGCCAATCACTTCCAGGTCAACGTTCGGACCATCTACAGGCTGCAACAACGTTTCCCGTCCACCAACACCACAAATGATCGCCCCCGTACTAACAGACTAAGGGTGACCACAAGACGACAAGACCGCCATGTTGTGCGACAGCATGTACATAATCCCTTTATCAGGAAACAGCACGCCAGACAGTGGGGACACACGGAAGACCAATCAGTACTGATACAGAACGCCGACGTCTTAACAGCGGGCACCTCTGTTGCCGTACACCTTACCGTGGACCTATCCTCACCCCTCGTCATCGGCGTGAACGTCTACAGTTTACCCTACAACACCAAAACTGGCGATACAGGCAATGGAGAAGTGTTCTGCTCACAGATGATAGTCGGTACTGCGTATCAACTGCAGATGGCAGAACAAGATTATGGCGCCGACGTGGCCAGCGTTACTTAGACCAATGTGTTATGGAAAGAGACTCATGGGGAGGTGCAAACATCATGGTATGGGATGGAATAGGCCTGAACCAGAGAGTGGGTCCTGTGGTGTTCCAGAACCTTGGTCCAGAGAGATGAGGCGGCATCACAGCGGTGCGCTACATCGACCAAGCTCTCAGACCCCACGTGATACCACATTTCGCACGTCACCGGAACGACATTTTTCAGCATGATAACGCCCGGGCCCATACTGCCAAAGCGGTACGTCCTACATCAGAACGGTGTCAAAATTATGCAGTGGCAAGCCCTTAGTCCTGATTTAAACCCAATTGAACATCCTTGGGATGAAATTCAGAGGAGACTGAATAATGTCATACCAAGGCCGAGCTTAGCCGATTTATTGCGCCAGGCCTTTCTCAGAGTGTGGTTCGAGGTGCCAGTGGACTTCATCAATCCACTGGCCCACTCCATGCATAGACGCTGTGCTGCAGTTATTGCCGATCGTGGTGGTCACACTAGATACTGAAGTCAAGAGTCTGAATGGACTGCAAACGTTCACGTAATGTCTTGAAACTGTGCCGAGTTATTCATTAATGTGTCAAGATATTGTACACAAAAATGTTTTTGATCCGCTTATTATGTCCATTTCTGTAATGATTTGATGGGAGTGCCTATCTAATTTTGGATTGGTTCTCACACTTTTTTGGGGCTGCTGAATATATTAATACTCTACATCCATAAACGTTTGACACGAATGAAAGTAAGGTCGCCGACACAATGAATATAAAAACAATAACAAAAGTAGTATTAATGACCTAAGGCCTCATCGCTGTGGAGCAGCCAATCACGGAACTAGAATTGGATGTAAACACATATACTCACGAGTGAGTAAAAAGAAAGCTAAATAACAAACAAATGGTGTTAATCGTTATATGACATGAAAATTGCACACACACCCCATGTAACTAATTAAAATATATAAATAAATAAAAGATATAAACAAATATAAATAAATGGATATGAATATAATATGAAATAAAAACAACCTGAAAACAACATGGATACTGACAATGCTAACCAGATCCTAATCTGAACCTTCAGACATATATCTTTCTATGTATTCATTTGATGCATTTCCTCATGACTAACCTTGTTTGATGAAGGTTCTTGCACCTGGAGCTTGAACATCAGATGGTAACACCGATGAATTGTAGAGCAAACACTGTCCCTCAAGATGCGTCAAGGAAGCGCAGGTGTCATCCTGGGCACAGTGTAACCCACATCCCAGCTGACTCTCCATGTGCAGGACGTTGGACGGGGTCTCTACTGGCTTTTTATTATTCAGTTTGTTCTGTCTCACAAAGTAATGTATCAGAGTGCACTCCTGGGCAATAACTACTGACATGAAGAGAGAGAGGACAATCACCAGCTTCTTCATCATTTTTCAGAGACGTTTAAGCAGCTGTGGATATATTTACAGTATCAGTCCTGAAACAGTTCTTCTGCTACTGATATATGAGACATACATTACATAGAAGCTCCTGATCCTTTCTCCATCACTAATTGGATGCATCAAACATCCCTTGAATGGCACTATGTAAGAAGAATGATGAATCAATAATACTGAGTACTGAGAGTGCATGCATTTAAAACTGATCCAATAATGTCAGGTAAATGGTTGCCATCGGCATAAACACTGCATCAACAAAAGTTGCCAAACCCTGCATATACAGCATTCACTCACATTGCAGAGTCCCTGCCATGCCACAGCGACCAGTAAACAAATCAGACTTTCGAATGCACGATGGACTGGAAAATCTAATTGTATATATTAAATTACGACTACCATATGTCCCGAAATTCAGTTGCTGACAAATACAGACAATTGTATATTTTAAATTACGACTACCATAAGTCCCGAAATTCAATTGCTGACAAAGAAAGACAACAAATCAGACTTTCGAATGCACGATGGACCGGAACATCTAATTGTATATATTAAATTACGACTACTATAAGTCCCGAAATTCGGTTGCTGACAAATAAAGACAATTGTATATTTTAAATTACAACTACCATAAGTCCCGAAATTCGGTTGCTGACAAATAAAGACAATAATTTTTTATTAGATCGGTTTTAAAACAGGACGGGGACCAGTGTTACTGCTTTGGACCAAGCATTTCTTTTCAGTTGACTCACCATAGATTTTTCATGGCGCAAACTTATGAAGCAACGTTTGATAAGGATTATCAGCAGACAGTTCTTATTTAAACGAATATACGATAAGAAGGTTTTAGTTATCTTAAGGAGTGAGTGATGGAGTATTCGATTCTATTCGATTTTGTCACTGTAATCCTTTGTGTTTAGCTATTCGCTCAGTCGCCCCGGATTCGATTTCCCACATGGACCCAACCAAACTACATAAAAAGAATTTATTCCACAAAATATTTTTGCAACGTTTGATACATCTGAGATCACACTAGTTACTTCTATTACAGATATCGAACGATCGTTTCGCGAGGGATTGTGTCGGCAAATACTTCACAATGCCTATATTGAGTGAAATTTAACAAAAATATTTAACGAGCCCAGAGCGTACAAGCTAATGGCATGGGATGAAGTTCTGAATGCAGCTAATATAGGACAGTCGATCGTACTGGTATGTTTCGTTAAACAATTTAGATCTTGATCGTTATCGAATGCAAAAAAAGCAACATTTCCAATAGCAACGTTAAAAGCTTGAAAAACCTTTGAGGACATGAAATTAATGAATCAATAAATTTACTTCAGTTAAACAGCTACGTAACAAATAATACTTTGCATTCTGAAAGGAATATGTTTTTCAGGGCGAGAATGCCCACATACAATCTTACGAAATTATGTGTCGAATTTCAGTTTTAAAAAAACTGTTAACAAATGATTGATAAACAACTAAACGGTGTACTTTTACTAAGCAAGCACAACCATCGGCGAGAGAGAACACTGAATGAAATTAAAATACAAACTCTTATCGTTTATCATCGGATTATCTTTTGCCCTGGCGTATCTTAAAAATTGAATTTACTACTTAAACACATTATAATCGCAAGACATATGCTGCAATAAAGTATACATGAATAAAACCAAAGTGTTATTCAATTCTGGGGCGATACTATTTGGGAACCAATTTGTATATGGGTTTTAGATATGGATTTGCGAGTAGAACATGATTATTCCGTTCACAACGTGTTATGAAGTTCTTGCAAACACGAGCTCTTAAAGGTTAACTGTCAGTAATTTCTATATTACAATCACGATATCGACAGCAAAATAACACTGATGATAGACGTCGATCTGGTCTATCAAGGGCGACAACTGGCGCAAAAGACCGTTTGATCAGGATGAAACCGTGGTCAAAGTGATTCTCAGATTAGGTGTAAGAGTAAGTGGACAGACAGTTTATAATCGGTTACACACATGGAACCTACATGCCCGACGTGCACGTCTTATCCCCCCGAGTGATGGACGGTCACATTAATCTTTGATTATCTGGCAACTAATATAAATGTGTGAGATGTCCCTGTGAAACTATTTATGTCATTAAAGATATAAAATATGAAAACTTGTGACACCTTTTTATTGAATACCCCCCACCTTTTAGCAGTAATATGTGCACCTATTAAACTCCTAAAATTATTTTCACACCGGCAGAATAAGGCGTTATAATATACGGCCCCACACAGCAATTATGCGTGTGTATGTGTATGTGCGGCTGCTTGTACTAGCCCAGACTTAGGCTGGTTTTATAGTGCTAGCCCACTGAGATACCATGCCGCAGTGAAAAATGAATACCCCACTCAGACACATTATACTGACTCCGAGCCGACCAGTCCTTGTTGTGCCCATTAATGCCGAGCGCCAGGCAGGGACCAACGAGTACCATATCTTAACGTCTTTTGGTATGACGCGGTCAGGGATCGAATCCGCGACCTTCCGCTCTCCGGGCGGACGCTCTAACCACTACACCACGGAGGCGGTCCAGGAGAGAAGGGTAGATAATGATATATGAAGAAATAATTTAGTAAAATTGATTTTGACAATCGATGATGCACAATGGTTTACCGTTACATTTAATACGAATACACGAAAAAGCAATACGTAGTCACGTTTTGAAGACTTGGAGTATATAAGAACCAGATAAGAAGCCGTGTGGCAATACTGTTGTTACAAACTGGAAAGAAAGATAATGACATTGACTGTATCAATAGTTTAGGAAGCACTATGGATTCTTAACGGTTTGTTATCTCGGGCTGATTCGTTTCTTTCGTGGAGTTCTGGTACGAACAATATGTAATTGGAATTACATATTGATTTAAAGATTATAGCATACTTGCATTCTTCCTTGTACCATGAACATGGGTATACCTATCATTCGGGATACGAGGGTCATATTCTGTAAAGTGAAAGTATGGCATTAGTTCAGACATGTAAGACAGTAAAAAGTAGATATGTATATATGGAGACATATTGGAGTTAAATTGATTTTGACAATAGAAAGTGAACGACGGTTTACCGCTATTAAGTAGTTGAGTGAGTGAGTTATTTGTTAACGTCACATCAGCAATATTTCAGCCATATCGTGACGAGAACATTTGACATTGAAATATAATATATATATAGATATTATAAAAACCTGCCGACGAAGGACAGTAAAAATACTAGATAATCACAGATATCAATATAAAACTAGCGAACAAAGCTAAAATATTCCAATTAAAGAAGACAATACAATGTAAAAATGGGCTATAGATCGCCAACAACTGAAGGTAGATCACCATACTAAGGCCCATGGGGATTTACATTACTTTTGCTACCTGCATGGACCCTAGCTGGATTTACACCATCCCTTCAGCCATTGGCGTTTATACTGAGATTTAGCCAGACATTAAAATGACAAAAAATACTACGACTAAAAACCTGGTAGACTGAAATTTACTTGAAATGTTTTGGGACTTACGTACCCTCTCAGGAGGACAATAATTTTACGGTACTTTAACCCCCTTTGAGGGCACAGCCACTAACAATCTAAGTTAACAATCTAAACTACCAATCATTAAAATACATCTACTTACAGAGCATATTAATCAAAAATCAGTAATCAAATCAAGTTCTTTTAAAAAACCAAGAATTAAATGAACATGAACAGTGTTAAAAAGATCCTTAACAGTTTTAACATTAAAATATTTATCCCTTATGATGGAGAATTCGACACAGTCAAGCAGGAGATGCTTGACTGTGACTCTTTCATCACAAGGGATACGGAGGATCTTCACCTTTCAACAAGTAGTTGTGAGTATACTTTTTATGGCCAATGCGACATCGTCGCATAATGACCTCTTCAAATCTGGACTGACAACCCAAGTGAGTGTAACCAATATAAGGTTTTATTTCATGTAGTTTATTAATACCTACTTGGGTGTCCCACTTCTTCTGCATCAGATCGCGGATGTAAGTTCTAATGCTAGCTTTGTAATCAGAGTATGGGATAAGAAGTGGTGTCACAGATTTGTTGAGTGCTGCCTTAGCAGCAATATCAGCCATTGTGTTCCCAGATATGCCAACGTGGCTGGGTAACCAACAAAAGACGATGTCGCATTGGCCAGTAGCAAGTTCATTATTCAATTCAATAATTTCTAATAAAAGTGGATGTTTACAAGAAAGATTTTTAATAGCCTGAAGACAAGAAAGAGAGCCAGAAAATATTATATATTGTTTATGTTTGGGATGTCGTTGAATATATTTAAGAGCCGTTAATATGGCGTTTGCTTCTGCTGTAAAAATGGAGCTGTTATCTGGTATTGTAGAAGATATTATTCTGGATCCAATGACCGTGGCACATGACACTGCGCCACCGTCCTTGGACCCATCTGTAAATAAGAATTTGTGTGTATTATATTTAGTTTAGTTGATTATATTCTTGTTTATATTGTAATTCATTAGTTTCCGATTTCTTAAACTTTGTCAAAGTTAGGTCAACTTCAGGCCTAACCAGTTGCCAAGGAGGAGAAGAAAGAAGACGGGAAGGAGCTATATTTCCCAGCTCAATGCCGGCAGCGGACAGGAATGGCTTAATTCTGTGCCCAAGAGGCGGAACAAGAGAAGGTTTTTTGTTGTATAAATCCTCATAGAGAGGGGATGAAAGACACAGTTATATGCAGGGTTAGACTCATTAGAATATAGTTTAGTAATGTATTGTAAAGATAATTTTATACGGCGTTGTGCAAGAGATGGCTCATCTGCCTCAACGTAGAGACTGTCAACAGGAGAAGTTCGAAAGGACCCAAGACAAAGTCTCAGGCCTTGGTGGTGGACAGAATCTAAAAATTGTAGGTTGCCTTTGCAGGCTCCACCATATACGATGGAGCCATAATCAAGTTTGGAACGGACCAATGATCGATACAGATGTAAGAGGGTAGCTTGATCCCCTCCCCACTTAGAATTTGAAACGACTTTCATCAAGTCAAGTGCCTTTAGGCATTTATTTTTAAGGGCTTTAATA